AGGCGATGGTGTGGTGGTCGCTCGCTCGCGCGGACTCCGCGGACTCGTCGTTCGTGGCGCGCCTCGTCGTGGATCTCCTTAGCGTGGAAGAGAGCAGCCCGGCGGCGGTGCGCTCCGTCATGCCGTCGGCGCCGGCCACCTTGCCGCCATCGCAGGTGGGCCGCCTGAAGGTGCGCCTCCTCGACGTGCTGCTCGGCCTGTGCGACTACGACGAAGAGGGTCGCACGCTGCGTAACGTGGACGACTTCTGCAGGAGGGAGAGGGGCCGCGGCCTCTACGACGCCCTCGCAGCGCTCTGCGGACCGCGCAATGGCGCCATAGTGCAGGTGGCAGCGTTGCACCTCATTGGCCACGTTGTCATTGCGATGTACCCCCGTGTTTCCCTTTCCACCGCCTGCGCCTTATGCAAGGATGTCTTCCGGCACACGCCGCACGAGATGGCAAAGGCCGCGTGCGCCTCCATGATATTAAATGTGACGGCGTCTCTGCACACGTTGGGTCTGGTGGCTGCACTGAGTGATGTGGACGTGGCGCTGCTTCAAGATATGGCGGAGGCCCTGCGGAGTTATCGCTGCGCATCGGGGCATGACGCCAGTCATGAGGAGGTCATACATTGCCAGGGTCGCTGCATTTTGGATGTGCTGCAGCAGCAGCAGCGGCAGCTTGTGCTGCGGGAAGCTTAATACGTGTTCTGTGCGTGCGGTTAGAGTTCTGTAAAGCAGGCTGAAGTATAATGTCCAGCAACCCTCTGAACTCTTAAATGGCTGAAGTTTGGGTAAAAACAAACAAAAAAAAATTGCTGAACGTCTAAGAAGAGGTATGAGAGAGAGGAAGCGCCAAGGTATCGTTTTTGTGCCGTGTTTCCTTGCCTTTTTTGGTTTGCTTTGTTTGCGTTTAGGACTCTCTTTCTCCGCTGGGGTGGATCTTTTTCTTTTTTTTTTTTTTGGTCCCTTGCGCTCAGTTGTTGTGGCTTTTAGTCGTCGGACTCAGGACAAGTATAGAGAAGAATTGAAGGCTTTAAAACCAAGAAATTTAAGCACATTTCTCTCTCTATATTATTATTATTATTATTATTGTTATTATAATTATATATATATATATATATAATTCTAGCCATATATCTGCATCTCTAACATAGGCAGCGCATGAACAGCCAAGGCCCTGCAAAGCCGCATCCGCTGAAGGACCCGTGGTATGTGACGTATTTTCCATTTGTGCGGCGCAAAAAGAAGGGGAGGGACTTTGATGAGCAGCAGAAGCCGAAGGAGCTGGACTGGGTGAAAACAGCGGAGGAGTTGTACGCCACAATTAACTCCTTCCCGTCCTTCACGTTGCTGCCGGCCGACGATAATTTGGTCTTCACGCGCAACAAGGTGGATCCGTACTTCGAGAACTTCCCCGATGGAAACCGCGTTAGTGTGTTCACACGCACCAAGGCGCAGGGCGATCAGGCCATCGCGTTGGTGCTCGCCGCCGTCATGGGGGAGCACCTGCGCACCGTCACGAAGGGCGAGTGCGTTGCCGACGTGGTGCGCATTGCCCACAAGCCTGGCAGCGTGTACCCCGAGTCGCTGCGGGTAGAGGTGTGGCTGCGCAAGAGCGACTCCAGCGACAACGTGGTGCAGTACTTCACCGACCTCTTCAAGCCGTACCCCGGCATTAAGGTCTCCAACCGCCCCATCAGCGGGGAGCTGACCGCCGACTAATGCGTCACGCGAAGGGAAGGGGGAGGGGATGGGGACGATGGAGAGACTGGGATAGTGGGCTCGCAGGATCACCACCAGCACCGCAACAGGCCACAGGCACGCGCGCCACAACGAAGCGGTGGCGCAGGGAGAAGGGAAGGGGGTGCTTGCGTGTGCAGCATGGAAAGTCTCTGCGTCTGCTGTTGGGAAGCGTACAGACTTTGCGTCGAATGTTAGCAAGGACGAAGAAAAACAAAAAAAAAGAATGAAAGGAACGATAAAAGCGAGAAACATATGTGCTCCTTCTTTCTGAAGTCAAGCGCTATTCACCCACTGCGTAATAATGCGACAGTGCGATTGCGTTCACATGACATTAATTTGGTGTATGCATCTCGGGACGCCCCACCATTCTCATGCTGGCCCTTTTGTTTTCGTTTTTCTTTTCTTTTCCCTCAACAATGGGTGCCTTCGAAGCCGCATTCCTGCGCATGTCGGCCGTGCACGGAGCAGTAGGGGCGGAGGGGGAGGAGTACCTGCCGCTGACGGAGCGCTCCTTTCGCGTCCTTATTCGGCGCTACGAGGAAGAGGCTGCTGCGGCCGCTCGTGCGGTGGCAGTAAGTTGCGGCGAGGACACGGCAGGAAGCTGTAGAGACATGGCCGTGGCGGCGCAGTACATCGCGGACCTCGCGCACGACGCCCAGCGGCTATTCCGCAAGTTTCAGGCGTGTGGCAGCGGGAGTAGTGACAGCACAACGACGACAGCATGGACATTGGAGGATGTGCATGCTCTACGACTGTTGGGGTTTGATGTGCGCGGCATTGACGCGGTCTCCTTATCCTCCCCGTTGGAGGAAGAGGGGAGTCGTGTGGATGCGCGCGGCAGCGATCCGTCGCGGCGCCCCCAGAAGTCTAATTTAGACGCCCTGCTCTTCATGGAGCAGAAGCTGCAGGCACTGCAGTTGAAGGCCGATGGATTGGCCGCAGAGAACGTTGCCCTGCGCCGCACCGTGGCGGGGCGTAGGCGCACCGGGCAAAAAACGCAGACGGCGGACGCTGGTACACACGACCCAGTTGTGGCCCTTACAACCGCTCTCAACGAACTGAAGGACGCCTTGATTGGTCACCGCGAGCGTGCTTCCATCGTGCAGGAGATGCGGGAGAGGTTCGCATTGGCACTTCATGAAATTCGCGTGGGCGATCGCAAGGTGAGCGATGCTGCGTCAGGTGAAGCAGACTACCCGTACAGTGTCATTGAGGAGGCGTTTTGTGTTCTTCGCCGTGTGGATGCGTGCCAGCGGGTGCGTTACTGCATGGGAAACACTTGCGATGATGTGGAGCCTGTCGACACGGCTGTGATTCAGCTTCTTAACGACCTGGACTTCCCGTTCCCCGTGCACATTCGCCGTCTCGGGCCTGGAGGTGATTACTTCATTGACAGTCATGTTGAGATCAAACTAGTGGACCAGCAGCTTCTAGTGAGGCCGTGGCCAGCCGCTGGCCACCGCCTGAATCCGGCTGACGGCGGAGGCGCCAACCACAGCAGAAACAACAACAACAACAACAACAGTAAGAGTCGCCCACGGTACGAGCACCTCGCGAAGTACCTTATTCACCTGTATTCGCCCGCCATGGATTTGGACAAGGCGGCCGCCACTGAGGGTTACAATGTGGCGGATTTGCAACGCGACCAAACCAGGTACGAGAGCAGCGCGTGTCTTTGTGATCACATCGCCAGTCTGAAACACCAGCAGCAGCGACTTCGGCGAACTCTTGAGAATCGCTATCAGCAACTACAGCGGCATCAGCGGCGGCTTGAGGAGGGTCTTTCCCCCTCACCGAGCAGGCCTCTCCGCGAAGACGGCTTTATGTCAAGCGGTCACATAGACGCCTCGTCTGATCAAGCAAGACGTGCATGGAGGGGGAAAGAGACACAACGGCCTCAGTCCACCTCCACTGAAGATCGGGTTTCCCACATTCTACACTTGCTCGAGACGAATGGTCGAGTTCCTGACCTTTCGAGCCTCTCCAAGTCGGAGTTACAGTGTCTCAAGCGAACAACCCTTCGGCGGCAGATGCATGCCTTTAAGGGCTTCACCGGTGTCATTTCGCCTCGTTCCCGAAGTCAATCGTCGTGAAAACAAACAAAAAAAAAGTTATTCGGTGATTGTGGCAGCGATTGTTCTCTGCGGTGCATTCGGCAAGTGCGTTTGCGGTGAACCTACAATGGCAATGTCATTTGTTTATGCGTTTTCTGCGTGGGTTGCTTTGTTTTCCCCATTTCCTCGCCAGCCTATGTTGTTTCCTGCTCTTCTCCTTTTTCCCCAACCTCTGCGTTGGGAGCAGTTATTGAGGTATTCATAGCATCAAGGAAAGACGATCGTCACATGTCCTTTCCTAACGCCATCGTGACATGGCAGTGCCCGCGGCGACCGTCCCCTGTGGTGGAGGTTCTTCAGAGCTGCCCAAACCTTCTTGACTATCTGTGCGACGTGTCTAGTGCGGAGCAAATGCGGCGGCCGCCTAGTCCGCACCGCAAATTGTTTATTCTTTTCCCTGGTAACCCGGGCATGGTGCACTTTTACGAGCGTTTTGTAGAGCTCATGTCAATGCGGCGTTTTGACGTTCTTGTGATGGGTTTTGCCGGGCACAGCTTGGTGGATCAAAACAATGGTAGGCTATTTGACTTACAGGATCAGGTGGAGACCGCGGAGCACTTTCTAAATACGGTGCTCAGTTCATACGCGATTAAGTGGTATGGTAGCCACATATACATTGGCGGCCACAGCATTGGCGCTTTTGTTGCAATGCAAATGCTACCTCGCTTTTCATGTATTAAACGCTGCTTCTCACTCTGTGGTGTGATCTCGAAGATTCAGGCGTCGCCTAACGGTAAACGCTTGTTTTTCATAGGCGGTAGTGCGATTGTGTATGCGATTGTGACCTACTTTATTGCATCGTTGCTGTGGATGCCGAAGGTGCTCTTCTCCTTGGTGCTGCGATGGCAAGCTCCAGAGTTGTCACCCTCACTCCGACAGCTTATGACGAGGCATTTGAACCGCAGCGCCCTCATGAATTGTTTCACCATGACTAGGCATGAGTTTTTCCAGGTGCGTGATCTTGATCGACCACTACTGAAGGCGGTGGAGGGGCGAATGGTGTTTTACTACGTTCCAGAAGACAAATGGGTACCACCGCTGCACGCGTACGAAGTAAAGGAGGCATGCGGAGGGAGTGCCGTTTTCGTGATGGAGTCTGACACCACTGTAGCCCATTCATGGTGCCTTACCCACAATGAAACTGTCATTGAGAATGGTATATTACCTTTTCTCTGATTACATAGGGTCTGTGCAGGAATATGAATAAATTGTACGGTCGGTGACGTTGTCGGCATATCTTTGAGTAAGATTGTCTGTGGATTGGTGTGCGGGTGCCTCTGTGTTTATTTTCCTCTGAAGCGAACGCGTCTCACAACTCATAGGAACGACAGAATAAAAAAATATATATTGGGGGAAAAAAGGGGAGGAGACAAACGCCTTTTTCCTTCTATTTTTTTTTTTCTTGTTTGACTGTCGGTTGCTGGTGCGGTGTTGTAGTTCGTACGACTAAGTGGCATAGTCTCTCCCCCCGATGCCCCAAGGCGGCAATTCCCTCAATCCACACATCGTCGGGGAGCCCACATATGATGGGCTTGCCCGCTACATTGAGCAGAAGAATGTGAGGAAGATACTCGTCCTGGCTGGGGCTGGAATAAGCGTTGCGGCGGGCATTCCGGATTTTCGGTCCCCCAACACTGGCCTCTATGCGAAGGTTGATAAGTACAATCTCGCGTCTCCGACGGATGCGTTTTCGCTACAACTCCTGCAGGAGCGACCGGAGGTGTTCTACAATATCGTGTGTGAGATGGATTTGTGGCCCGGGAAGTTTTGGCCCACACCGGTGCATCACTTCATCAAATTGCTAGCTGACAAGGGTCGGTTACTGCGCTGCTGCACGCAGAACATTGATGGGCTTGAGCGGTGCTGCGGTATACCTAATTCGCTGCTGGTTGAGGCGCATGGTTCCTTCTCTTCTGCCTCTTGTATCAAATGCCGTTCCTTGTACGACATCAACGTGGCGAGCCAAGAGGCGAAAAGAGGCGAAGTGCCACACTGCACCCAGTGCGGCGGGGTTGTGAAACCTGACGTTGTTTTATTCGGCGAGAAACTTCCAGTTTCGTTTTTCCAGGCCTATGAAGACATCATGGAAACAGATTTGCTTCTCATCATGGGTACCTCGCTCCAGGTGCATCCCTTCGCGGAGCTCGCATTTAAGGTTCGACCCGACGTGCCACGTGTGCTGTTCAACTTGGAACGCGTGGGGGGATCAATGTTCCACTTCCCTACTGATGACATAGGGCCGTCCGCCACCGCCACAACAACTACTACTACCACCACCAGCAGCAGCAGGGGTGGCAGTGGCAGTGGCAGCGGCAGCAGCAGAAGTAGTAGCTCCAGCGAGGGCTTCTCTCAGTATAGGCACTACCCTGTTCACTCGGAGGATGTGTGCCGCGACATTTTCTTTCCCGGGGATTGCCAGACGTCGGTGCGCCGCTTGGCTGAGGCGATGGGCCTCGGTGAGCAACTGTCCGCGTCGATCCGCGAGGGCGAAAAGAAACGCGAGAGGAAGTATGAAGAATAAGGAGTTGTTATAATTGGCAACGGGGGGGCCAATAAGAAAAGCAACAACAACCCCAACAACAAACGGATTAAGAGAAACTCCCTGGAACGTGTTTGGGGGGATTAGTGCCCCCCCCCCCTTCAATGTTCTCCAAAAGTGAGTTTCCATTGCTCGATTCTCGTTTTCTGAAGCGCTAATGGTCCTCCCTTACTGCCATTTGGGCCTACTGTACTTGTGCGGTATTTGGTTTAGTTTACCGCTGTTGTATTTTTTTTTTTTGGAAAATTAATTATATCGCCTGCTTTTCCTCACCGCCACAAGAAAGTTCTAAGCAAGAGAGGGCGGCACGTGGGCTACGGCTCAACGTAGTCCAAAGCAAAAAGTTGTACGTGTGCTTGTGTGTTGGATAGTGTGGCTCTGTGAGTTTCGCAGCGTGGATGAAGGAGTTTAAGGCATTCACACGTTACCCCACGCGGCGACGGCAGCGCCGCAACATCATTCGAGTGGCTGTTGTCCTAGCCGTATTATTCTGCCTGTACGAGATATCCGGAAACCGCGAGGAGAAGAAGCCTGGGCAACCAGACGTCATCGAATCTGACAATGAGACAACCGCCATAGATGCGCCGAATGCGAGTGCGTTGCCCAAAATCACCCTCTACGAGGAACGTACCGCGCTCTGGGGCTACACTGGCAGTATCGACAGCCTCATAGAGAAGCGCGTGTCACCGAATGCGTTTGGACCCGCGATGATGCGTAGCCACGAGGGGACGCTGGACGAGTGGACCGTCACGAACGTCACCTGCGCACGCCTTAAACAGTTGGGGGTGACCGAGGAAGAGATGAGGCGTCGTTACACACGACACAGATTAGTGAAGGAGGCGACTGGATGTGATACGCTCTCCGTGCCGTTCAATCCTCGGCGTGATAAGCGTTGCGTTGAGTTCATGACGAACATCTCCAACTGGCAGGAGCTGGTGCCCATTGCGCAGTCGGAGGACCAGCGAACAATTAAATTCGGCATCATTTTCAAACCCCTCCACGTAACTCTGGAGAAGGGTAAAACCAATAACGATAGTACAATCATCATTCAGCGTCCAGTGGAGACAATGGTGAAGGTGCCGCAACTTCCGTTTCCGTCAGAGGCAGTTGGTGAGGTGGCGGCGTTCCATGCCGATCGCATTCTCTTGACACACCGCGTGCCCCCGACCGGTTGGGCGTGTATGCCGTTGCACATGATTGAGACCTGTGTGGCGGAGTACAAGGACCGTGCGGTAACCGCGGCGGTATTCCTTCGCATGTCAGGAGTCAGCAACTACGAGGAGTGGGTGAAGAAGGACCTCTTGGACTATGCGAAGCATCAACACCTCGTGGAGAGAAACAGTGGTGGCGATGAATGCATTGGTGTTTCAGTCCAACTAAAGATAGCTGATGTCGGACACTTTTTGTCAAGTGCGATGCGAATACCCTACGAGTCCCATAGAGACACCTGGCATGTATACTTTAACTTGGAGAATATGATTGCAGATAAGGGGATAAATTTCATGGACGAGCCGTCTTTTCTTGGCGTCCTGCATTTGGCGGAGATAAACATGTTTGACTACATCATTGGAAATATGGATCGCTCGCCGAACAAGAATAATTTTGTCGTGGGTGGTACACGCCTAGACTTGACGTTGGACAGCACATTCATGCTGCACCCAAATCAGCCTTCGTTCATCTACCTTGACCATGGTATGGCGTTTTACCGCAGGCGCCCGCGGCGGAACCCAATTACGAAGTCCCACGAGTCATTAAAAAAGAGCGGATCGGACACCTTCTGTCTCTTCCGAGGTCCGTTGCTGCGCCGCATCCGTGATCTAATGCAGCCCATTGGCGGCCCAAAGAAAGAGACCGTGTTCAGCTTGAGAATGAAAAAACGTCTTCCAAGGAGAGTGTATAGCACCATTGGCGGTGATGGTCTGCGCTATTGCTCGATGCGGGGTAGGGAATTGCTGGCGATGGCGGAGCGTTGCTTGACGAATGAACGTATACGACCCTACGTGTTATTTCCATGATACTTGGCCAAAAAAAAA